CATGTTTTAGCTGAAACGCATCAGTTCGATGAAGACAATCAAGACAAGATAGCCTCCCATGTGTAGTCCATCCTGATAGCATACCATAAGCGGGGAAATCGCTTATTGTCCACATAAACACAGCCCGCATAGTAAAATTTTTCTTCGTTGAACAGTCATATGTGCAAACGCCAGTATACCATAACTGATTCAACGTATGTATGAGTGGCTGCAGAAATACATCGAGAGCTCACTTCGGATGATCTGGACCTGGAACCAAAATACTTAGGAAAAGAAATTCCTTTTGCATGCACAAATCTGGAGGAAGGTTATAAGGAGTTAGGATTACTGGCCATAATGAATATTGTCTACCAGACATACCAAATGGACTAAAACCATCAGTGCACAGACCAAGATAGACATTCTGTTTGAACTTAGCAAAATCTGGGTATACCATATTGAAGTGTTTCCATGCCTTTGCATCTGATGGATGAACAACTTCTCCATCTACTTGTATATGTTCCGCATGCCATCTCATTGATGCAGCTGTCCTTTCAGATTGATAAAGCCGTTTTAACCTATCAGTTATAGGGAGATACCACATACGTTGGTACGGTATTCTTTTACGCCCACCAGTTTGCGGCCTGTATCTTGGTTTTTGGCAAAATCGACATTCTTCCAGCTGATCATCATTTTTCCAAAAAATCATACAATTGTCAACACATACATCTATCATCTCAGAAGGTAGACCAAGACTAAAAATCAACTTCTGTATTTCATAGTATGTTCCCGCTACCAAGTTATCCTCCGGTAGATACTCTTTCAGAAGATCAGCTCAATCATCCATGCAAATCTCAGCCAGGTTATGATCTGTTTTAATTGACATCATCCTAGCTGCCAACGATAATTTAGACAGGCCTTCTCTATATCCTTCGTAGATTGGTTGATTAGCATTGTCTAACAAATCATAAAATCGTTTGGCTGACATTAGGTTCCTCAACAGCATTACCAGTATGCGTTTCATGAAATGCATCAGTCACCATCTCATGCATCCTATCATGATCTACACTTTGATCAGATTGATACTGATTAGGCTGATGACCATAATTCGATTCATCAAAATTAACATGACTTTGATAATAACTACTACTACCAGCATTCCCATGAGTATTACTGCCATATCCTTCTCCATGTAGATACCAAACAAAATATTGCGGCATAAACCCTCTATTTAATAAATGCGTCCACACTGTTTTGGTTAGTGTATACCTTGTATTCTTGTATTTCAAACAAGGACAAAACATCTTCCCGCTATCTTTCGTTCTCTCCATATTTGTAGCCTGATACATAAATATTTCTAACCTGTTCTTGAACTCTTCTGTCAACGCCCCATCTGAATCTTTACGCATATACATCCAACTTCTTAGCTCGTATATAGACATCTTGAAATAAACTCAAAATACTATCTCTTTTTATTGATTACACAATAAAGGAGCTGGTCTCTTGTGTCACGTCTAGCCACGTGAATGGAGTAAATTAACCTTTTAATATTATTATTTCTTTTTTTAAAGTAAATAACTACTAATTAATTCGGGTTTCCAGCAATGGACAACCCAATATATAAGGATTTACAACACTATACTAAAATTTAAGAGACCTACAATGGGTCTCCAGGATGATGATGCTCTTATGTTTGAATGATGATGTGTTGTGATTGAAAGAAGGAATGAAGATCTATTTAGAGGAAAATTTCGGGCTTTACGACGCTTTTACGATGACTTTTTACGACGATTTTACATTCAACAATAATATTACGACGATTTTACGTCGATTATGCGATAAAATCTTTCATCTACATTAGTTAGGTAAACATGTTTTAAATGTTCTTCACCTAACTTCTTTGTCGACGTAAAATCGTCGTATCGTTTACATCGAAAACCAGTCGTCGTATATTCGTCGTAATTTTACATCTAATTTACGACGATTTTGCAATTAATATCAAATCTCTGGTTATCGATGTATATTCGTCGTAATTCGTCGTAAATTGTACGTCGAAGTTACGACGATGTTTTTATACGACGGTTTTACGACGGTTTTTTAATGTGACGTAAAATCGTCGTAATATCGTTGTAAGTTTGGGACGACTTTAAAACTGTCGTAATGGACCGTTGGAAAACGATTGTTTTCTTGTAGTGAATGATGGATGGTTAAGATTAAATATAATAATGAGTGGTTGAGATTAAAACAAGCTAAAGAAATTTGGTGACAAAGCTAAGTAAAACTTTTATTAAAAATATAATTGAAGATCGTAAAGGAAAACAACACATAAAGAAAAAGTAGTGAAAGGAGAGAGAAACCACACCTCACATCTAAAGATCAATCTTCTAAAAAACCGCTCATGAAGATCTCGGCTGTAACGGATGGAAGTATCCCTATTACAATATTACTCTTCTTATGATTCTATTATGTGATTATTCTTGATGTTCAAATGATCTTAAAGCTCATGTAAATTACGCTTACATATATGATATATGTAACATCTCAATGTATTATATGAAAAGCATATTTTCTACAAAACTATGAATACAACCCGTTGTTAGGCGACCCCAAATACACATATGATCCTCGCTGATATGCCGTTGGTGGTTAATGCGTCCTCGAACCCAAATTTCAATCTTTGTTATAATCTTTTATGCCACAAAACAGGCAAAGTCCAGATTCAAACTTCAAGATAAAACCTAATTTTTAATCTTTGTGATAACTTAAATGCCAAGAAACATATCAGAAACTCGAAAATGTGCTTTAATTCGAGTCCTTGCCGATTATCAAATTCAAAATTTTAAGTTAAATCCCCATTTTTTTCAATCTTTGCAATATCTTACATGCCAAACAGGCAAAATACATATAAGCCGAATATCAGTCTCCAATAGAAGTTATTCAAGCATTACATGAATGAAAAATATATAGATATTCCAATCTAAGGAATCTGATTCATATGAGCAAAGAAGCAAGACCGCGACAGCAAACATACTGGTTTATTTCATCCACGGCAGACTTAAACAGCGCAATAAATCTTGTCTTAGTGTTTAACACTTCATGTGTTGTTTCAAAGAGAGACTTCCATGAGTGAATAATGTTAGACTCTATTGCTTCCCTCGCAAACCCATTCGCCTCAGAAACATCCTTCAAAGACCTCAACTTCTCTTCTAGCTTCTTCAGCTCTTGGTTGCAGTGTACAAAACCAGACGATCTCACTACGCCACCATTTCTGAGAATCGTAACTATGCGATCCAAAACTCTGACTACAAAAGCAAAATGCAGGCAAGACGGGTTGAAATTCTCCCATTGGATCGATTTGCCACCACCCTTGTAGATTCCATTCTTGGGTTTGATATATGTTTCAAACACATATTCAATAGCAAGAAACATTCTTCCTACCACGGGAGCATTCAAAGATTTGTTTTCTGGATGCTTGAATAGCCAACAACAGAATATTGACATAGAACGTATGTCATCAGATAATATGAACATTGCTTCAGCCACAAAGAGCGAGAGCTTAACTCCTAGTTTGACAACCTCTTCTCTCTGCTTCTCCTTGGGAATATTAGTCCTGAAAAACACAAAAAAATCAAATAGTGACTTTGTAAACTTGCGTAAGAAAGCAAACTCTTTCACCGACCCTATAGTGTAAGGACAATATCTTGACGCAGGAAGACTCCTGTTACGACGGAGGACACGCTGTGTCATGGACATTGATTCCATCTGTTTCGAGATGATCGAGATGTCTGAGGAACTCATCAGGTCGAATCTAGGTGCAATCATTAAAAATCTATATTAAAAAAAAACAGGTGGAAAATTATCAAAATTTCCCAACGCACATCTAAGAGGAGAACCCTAGATCGTAAATTTAATTCTAACCCCTTGAATTGGTATACAAATTCCCATAACAAATAGAGCACTCACGTCGTCCTTGTAGTGTAGACCTAAAAATCTCTCAAGAATTTCTTCCCAATTCTAGGTTTTTTTTTATAAAGATGATAAATAATAATTTTACAGCAGTTATATAATTTGACCAGCCGACCAAAATAAAATAATTTACCGAAAAAATAATAAAATACAGCAATTATATAACACTTCGGTTAACCTCCCAATCCTAGGTTTTTTACTTTTTTTATAAAGATTTTATTATATAAGGGAAAATTTCTTAACAAGACAGGTAAAAAAAAATTATAACTCACTAGATTGCGCCATATATCATCGTTATTTTATATCTTGACATGTGTCCATGTAATAACATTTAATTTCCATTCTTAATTATCTACTTCAAAAAAGAAAAAAAAAATTTCTAAATGAAAATTAACAAATAGAAAAAACAAAGCAATAAAAAATAAACTACTATATAATGAAAATTATGTTTTTGAAACCTTAATATTTATTTAGAGAGATTGTTATCAGATTTATGATTAATATGAATCAATTTCTAAGTTTTTTAATTGCGAATCATAGAACATAAATTGTAAATAATTTAACAGGATTTTAATTTAAAATTTAATTATACAGATAATAATTACATGGATAATCAATTTTAAAGTTTAATTTTTTTTCATGTATTACGGGGAACCTAATCTAGTTACAAATAATACTCTTACAGCAATTATATAATTTAACCAGAAAAAAAAATTAAAAATAATAAAATACAGCAATTATATAACACTTCAGTCAAATTTTTTACAGCAGTAAATGACACACTTTAATAAAAGGCAAGAGCCTTTCTCCATTTTATCCTAGCTAATTGTATCAACCCATACATCCATAAATATTATTATATAAAGTAAAATGTTTTAAAGTTGCTAACACACCGGATCGTGATACTTATTAAGACCATTTTTATTTATATTATTAAAAAAGAAGCATGTTTTGTGTCCAAACATGTTTTATTTAGTTTTTTACTATTCTGTTTTTGGATAACTGTTATTTCAGTTGTCAAACAAATTAATTTAGTATAATATTTAATAAAATAATATTTTTTTAATATATTTTTTAATATAAATTCGAAAATTTAAATTTAAATTAAAATTGTTATAGATTTCCTTAAATATAAGTTATATTATTTATAAAAATCATAAAATAAGTTATTATTATATCTTTTAAGAAAATAATAAATTAGATATTAATTTTATTTATTAAATATTCAAATTTAAATAATATTTTCAATGAAAAAGATGAAAATGATATATTACTGTATACTTTTATTAAATAAATCTAAAATTTTTATTCAAACTTAAAAAATATTTAAAATATATAAATAATATGATCAGACGGGTTAGAATTATGTTTTAATAATCGCGATTTTTTTTTGGATTAATATAAATGGGCATGCTATAATGACATTTTTATGATCGTTTCACTTTTCAGATTAATATGAACGGCATGTTAGAATAATGTTTTTTTAATCGCTGTTATATACAATACTAGAAAACATAAATCAATACAAAAAAATTATATATAAACAGAAATTTTTTTTATTACTTATTAGAAAATTATATCTAAACAAAAATAAAAACATAAATTATATTACAAAATTTGATAAATTAAAAATAGTTCCCATGCGGACGCAAGGGTAGAATCTAGTCCTACTTTATATTTCACTCTAAAATAAAGTTTGGAGTAAATTCTCTATAATCTTATTCGATATCTCACTCCAAAATAAAATAAATATGGAGTTACTCCAAAAATAGAGTTATTCTATTTTTTTAGTCATGACTTCATTTTGAAGAAAAAAATGGAGCAATGTTGAAGTAAAACACAACTCCATTTTGGAGTTACTCTAAAATGGAATAAACTATAAAGTTACATATTGTAGATGTCCTAAGTTAATCGATCAAATTTTCACATGTATAGAAAAAAAAACCAATTAGATTTTGACACATAATATCAACAATAAAAATTATAATTTAGACTCAATCCTAAAAGTAAATTCACAAAAAAATAGCTTTTAGATTAAGAAATTTAAACAAAAGATTCTAAGCTAAAAGTAAAGTAACAATTTGTTGAAAAAGTATTTATGTTTAGACTAAGAAAATTAAACACAAGCTTAAAATTCTAAATGGAATTAATGTAAATATTTATCTAGTTAGTTAAAAAAAAGCAAATTAACTAATAACAAAAAGTATTATCTATACATTCATGAAGTCAAAATTCTGATGTGTCGCTTTCACAGTGATTTTATGTATATTTTTATGCTGACATGTCTTATGCTTATTTTTTTTTGCGTTGACATGTAATTTATTCAATTATTATTGGTTATTCATTTATCTATATATTCATGAAAATGTATCGTTCTCACAGTGATTTTATATGTATTTTTATGCTAACATGTCTTATGCGTAATTTTTTGCGTTGACATATATTCAATTATTATTGGTTATCATTAAACTAATTGAACCCAATTAATCAGGCTCATAGTAATGAATTTGTTTGTTATTGTTTTTTTTCTATATCAGAAAATCGCAGACTCACGTTTGCATATATTAAGCATGTTGGACTAATTTTAATAAAGCATGTGGGCTTTATAAAATTTTGTATGTGTGAAAACGAAATGGGCTTGGGCTCACAAAGAGAAAGCCTTTTAGAAGACAAAATGTAAATGAGGAGATAGAGAATTGTCCCACATCAAGTAAAGAAGGAGAAATCTTCTTGTTTATATAGGGGAGAAAACTCTTGGGAGTCTAAAAGCTGTTGGAAGGAGAGATGGTCCCTGCGCGTGTGCGCGCTCGCTCGCTCGGCTCGGCTCGGCGCTGGCGCTGACGCGTGGCTCTTGGCTCTTGGTAGAGGGCCTCCGGCCCATTAACTATCTTTTTGGGCCAGACTCAGATAAATGTTTGGGTCAAAACAAATATTTATTTTTGGAGAAATCTGTTCAAATATTTCCGTTAAAGAATATTCGTTCCAGATTTTTCGCCCACGATCACCATTTACTCCAGTCAATTATTCTGAGCGAGTCTCACGGAATAATTGATTTCGTTTGACTTCAAAATCAAAACGGGCTCTTCTCTTGGCTATATAAGAAAGCCTTCCCTTTCCTCATTTCTCACCAAGTTTAATACACAGAAAATTTCCAACAGCCTCTCTTTCGTTTAAGTAAGTTCCGAGAGTATAGCGTAGTATTTTCTAAGTTCATAGATTCCGTTTTCGAGTGTTGCGAAACGGTCTCATGCGCGTTGTATCCTGGGACTCTAGAATCGTACAGAACCGTCACACTAACGGGCGATTCATTTGAGTTAAGGAAAGAGAGAAATCTCGCCTCAGCGTTTCTTCGGGTTTCTTAAAACGTTTTTCAATCCTCTTGTTCCTCCTTTCTTTCCGTTTCATATCGTTTCCTCTGCAACTGTTTATCTCACTTTAGTTCATATTTTAATCGCTTATTATTGCTTATTACCGTTTATATAATCAGTTCAATCGCAATTTTTTGTCTGTCCATTTTTGTGGTTCTACAAAGCAAAGAGATAAAAAGATCATCATCTCAACCTGCGTTCCATTAGATGTACTGGTTTAGGTTTCTATAGTTTCAAATTTGTCTTATCTGTACAGCCTCTCTCAACTGTGGACTCCACCTTTGTTCGATGATCAGTATGTTATGTTAGAGCCTTGTAATTAAGATTTGTTTATTAACCTTGCAATCACCATATGATTTTTTCTCGTATTTTGTATTCACTATACCACAATTCACTTCCCACTAAGTTATTCCTCCTTAAATTGCTCTAATTCAAGCACACTTAACTATGGACTTGTCTTTGAACAAATGACCAAACACATAAGTGAACTTTGGTGGCATCGATAGGTATATCAATTCTTATAAATCTTTCAACATGCATCAACATATTGCTTATTACCGTTTATATAATCAGTTCATATTTTAATCGCTTATTATTGCTTATTACCGTTTATATAATCAGTTCAATCGCAATTTTTTGTCTGTCCATTTTTGTGGTTCTACAGTCTTAACTCAAATGAATCCGCTTCTAGTTTATCACTACAATCGGATTTAGACTTTCTGCGATTTCATAAACGATCTTTATAAACGTTTTCCGGTTTTGAGCGATTACGGATTTGCGAATCATTTTATAGTGATTCCGCAAATCGTTTTCGAAACGATACAGACGGTTTTGCGAACGCTTTACAGTGATTCCGCAAAAGGGTGAAGGTTTCTGCAACGCTTTAGAGCAAGTTTGCAAAACGCTTTGACCATTTAAAAACGTTTCAGCGAACGCTTTTACAAGCGAGTTTGCTAAACAACAGTTTTGGTTTATTTTAGATAAATCATTAACTTCAACTGCTGTGTGTTAAATCGCTTACATACTGATACCTGTTCTTTACTTGTGATCAGATGGCTACCGAGTCCAACAATAACACACCAATTTTGGGGGCTGATGCTGAAAATGTGGGGGCTGGTACGACACCAACTGTGACCCAAATCAGTGATGGAACCGAGGAGATAGCAAGGAGAGTTTTGTTTAACTCTGGTCTTCCTTTGGTGCCTACCTCCATTGAAGTCAACAATGATATTCCGTCAGCAGTCACTCAAGGGCTCATGCCAGACAAGTTCGATGGGAAAGACTTCAAAAATTGGCAACAAAAGATGCTGTTTGCCCTGACCAACCTGAAGTTTGACAAGTATCTGACCGAGGACAAACCAACCATTCCGGCTGGGAACACTGATGTCCGCACACTTGCAAGCGTTGAGTCATGGATTC